ACTAGTATTGCAGAGGAGTCATAGAAAAACACCGCGCACAGAAAAACAATCAGCAGGAAAGCCAGGAAGTGACAACTGAAGAAATAAATAATACACTAGCCCACCACCTCGCAGTCTGGTGAAACTGTTGCTGTTGTATGTGCAAAGCTCCAGGAAGCATCACCCATACCCACGTGCAAGTGGTCACCTGGAGGCAGCAGCAAGGGCCCTCTCCGTTGAAGCATGTAAGGGTTTTTTTTTGGCAGGGCGGAAGCCCCCGTGGTATAGAGAAGAAAACCACAAGTGGTTAGAAAAAAAAAGCATATCCCTGGGGTATGGGGCTTTCTCGGTGGGTTTCAGATCACAGACCACCTGCTGTGCACAAAGCAGCTTTGCAGAGCAATTGCAAAGAAGAATTGCAAAGAGAACGATTCAACACCTGAACTTAGCTGCGTGTCAGCAATGCACGCACTCAGAGATACAAAATATGCATGGATATATGCCATGAAACACCCCTGTCTTGCTTGCTGAGTAATAAAATACGGTGTGCTCTGCCATCTGCATGAGACCCCTTGAGTGTGGGCAAGTGAAGGCAGAAGAATCCCTGCCAAGAAACGCAACCTGGGGCCTGCAGCCAAATCATGGGGCTTGTCCATGACTTCTGCAGAGCTGGAGCTGCTGTGAAGCCCCAGACAGGTGGGAGACGGCAGGCTGCGGTGGCTCAGGCACAAACATCATCAGTCTGAATCTCGAGGGGAGTCATCGAGGTAGAATCCTTGAGGCACCATCAAGAACCAATAACAATAAATGAGTACAAATTCTGGATTAGAACTGAATTACTTCAGAAATCTATTTTTTTTTCCCCCTTCATTTTGCTGCAGATGCTGAACACCATCTCTTTACCCAAGAGGGTCCGGATGACATCACATCCTCTCCAAAGAGCGATGCAGCCTCCCAAGTCAAGCGAGAAAGACCATCTCGGCTCTGCCGCACCGTCCCCTAGGAGAAGATGTCTTGGTCTCCTGCGCTGCTCCTTCTGCTCGCTCTGGGGCTCTGTGAGTATGGACACAGGGTCGTGCATCACCTTCACCGGGAGGGGCAAGTAAACCCCTTCCACTGAACCCAAGAAATTGGGCTAAATAGTTAAAGGGAAAATGAAAAGCAAACCAAAAAGGCTGACTTAGAAGTTTGCTCAGTAATTGTGGAGGTAAAGGTGGCCTCACCTCAGCCAGTGTAGGGCAGCTGGAGGGGTGGCTACGGCATCATGGGCACCGGGAAGGGAGCTCTGTCAGAGAGGTGGCTCTGGAGGGGAGGGGGAGGGGGAAAAAAGGGGCTTTAGCAGAAAGTGTTTTTAGGGAAGGGGCACCATCCCTGAGAAGGCAGCCGAAAGGATTTTCTGAAGGGCAGCACCCATCTTTAAAGCCAGAGTGGCTGATTGCCACACACCCTCCACACACGATCCCAGCAAGGGCTCCAATATAACCTTCAAGTCATCCAGGCAGCATGGTCATCCCTTTCCATTTGACCTCGCACCTGGTGGGCAGGGAATGAGGTTTGCCCAGAGGGGATATGGCTCTTCCCGAGGGTTTACCACAAGGATTTCTCGTCTACAGGCTGTACTGGGATCCGGGGCCAGAGGTATGGCATGACGGCCAGGTTTCGTGACAGAAGCATCACACACCCCCGGCTGAGAGAGCAGCTGGAGCTGGAGTGCCTGACTGACAAGGAGGACAGCGGCATATCCTGGGTCCGCCAGGACAGGAGTGGAACCCTTCATTTCATCGTCTTCATCTCTTCCATGTCCCGGACGACCTTCGCAGGGAACCAGAAGACATCCACACGCTTTGAGGCGAGGAAAGACAGCAGGTTGTACCGGTTGGTAGTGAAGTCTTTCATGCCGCAGGACGAGGGGAACTATTTCTGCCTCATGAACAGCAACCAAGTGCTGTACTTCAGCCCCAGCCAGCCTGCCTTCTTCCCAGGTCAGCAACACCTCCACCCTATCTCGCTTAGCTCTGCCAAAATGCCCAGCACCTCCTGTCTGTGCCTTTTTTAATCAGTCGCCTGGCCCACAAACCCCATTTTCCCTGCTTGCTTGCCCAAGGTATCTTGTGACAAAGGCACTGGTCCTCCTTCCAGAGGCTCCCTGCTTGCCACCTCTTCTCATGGTATTGCTCCTGCCCAAAGGCAAAGATGATCGGGCAGACCCTGCATCACCTCTCCATCCCCACTTCTCCATCCCATTCATGGCTCTGAAGGGATAAGACTAAAGTAAAGTCCACCACTCCTTCCTTCCTCTGGGTCCCTAAAGTCCTATCAACGTCAGGGTACTCAGGCTTTCTGAGGGTGATGGCAGAAAGCAAGAAATACAGACCCTGCAGCTCCTTATTGGGTCTTGGGAGACCCTCCTTGGGGGAGTCACCATCCAAAACAGGCTCTGTGAATTCCCCCTGGACCTGAGCCCTACGCTGACCACAGGAGCAGCCATGCCCTGGCAGGGGTGGGAGAGCAGAAGGGCAGGAGAGAGCTATTTTATCGTATTTCCCTATATGCTGTATTCATCCATTTTCACTTACAGTCACCACCACAGCAGCACCCACTGCACCGGCAGCCACCACCCAGCATGGCATCACCGAAAAGGACCCTTGCCTGAGGACCCTGGATTCAGGTAGCCCAGCTGTGGGGAGGGAGAGGGGAAGGTCTGCACTCTGGTCCACTGATACCAAGAGGGAGATCCTGCCAGCATTTTGGGATGGGGACAGAGGGAAAACCCTCAGAGCTTTATCAGAGTTGGATAACTGAGAACAGGCAGCAGGGAGGGTTAAACCCCAGTGTTTCATCCCACGTAGGAAAGGCTAAGGATGACCTAAAAAGCATAAGGATGTCTCATGACTGAGTACATTGGGAAGAGCTGGCGGGAGGGCAGAGCCCTGGGGGCTGGTGATGGTTTTAGCCTTGCCAGGGGACACAAGAAAACTTTTGGCTACATATCCTCCCCCAAATCCCCAGGAAAATGCTGAGAGCAGCAGCACTAACAAATGGTCATCACTGGGGATGACACCCATGCTGCGCTTGTGGACATCTCTGGTGCCCACCTCAGCCTTGGCAGGTGAGGGGAAGCCCTCTGCTTCATCACCAGCCCCACTGAATGCCAGGCAGGGCCCTCACCACAGCTAGCCATAACACCAGCTGTGGGCACGTGGTGGACCTTTCCTCTTCTCTATTCCTGCAGAGACCAGCAAGGAGAAAGAGCTGAATTTCTTCTGTGATATCTTCATCTGGGTTCCCTTGGCAGGCGCCTGCGTCCTGCTCCTCCTCGCCCTGGCAGTCACCATCATCCTGTGTCAACGTAAGACTCCCCAATAACCCCCCATAGATATTGCTCTAGCCTGAAACTGCAGCCCTGTCCTTCAGGGGAATGCATCTTCTAGCTATCCCCTTTATGTAGACATCAGGTAACTGGGACACGGGCAACACCAAGAGAAGGACCACTGTTAAAATCAGCATCTGTATTTTCCTCATCAGTAGGCTTAGGCTGAAAAATAATTATCAACTTCTACACTACAAGGAAGAAAAATAGATTATAAATAGAGAAAACTTACTCTATCGAGCTGTATTTGCTCTACCATCCTTAAATCGCTGTATCAGAGGGTAAAAGTACCAGAACCTGAAACACTTTGACAAAATAGCATAAACACGCTCCAGCACAGGGCTTGCAAATTCAAATGCTGAGACAGCTTGAGCTGTAACCAAACGAGCAACTTAATTCACAGGGTCAGAGACAGCTACGGCTAAAGCAGTAATGCAAAAATCTCTGGGTACGCAAAAGTCTTTGGTGAAATTTCATGTCTGAAATATCTTTAAATCACCCTGAGCAAGCAGTGAGTGCAAATGTATTTAAATCAATTTAACGCTCACTGAAATCAGTTTAACTTTCCGATACGCCCAGAAGTTACACCAATTTCATTAAACTGGCTCAGCTCATTTGCCTGGAACACCAAAGTGTTTTGCTGCTGAATTAACCTAACTAGATCCTCACTGACCCCACAGCCTGGAGCCAATGTGAGATGAATTTACCAGCTGACCCAGTTTAAAAAAAAAAAAAAAAAAGTACAATTTTTCAGCATACTTCAGCCCTGAAAAATACTAATGAGCATGGTCTGCAGTGATAGGAAGGAATACGTGAAAAAGAACCACTGGTGAGCCACAGCCAAAAATCATTCTTCTGAAGGGAAATAGCTGGTGATGCAGTGGAGTGCCCAGAGTTGGTCCACGCTCCCTCTGAAGTCACCAGGAGTCCTCCATGTGCACTAGGATTCCCCAGTCACCCGCAACGTGGTTAACCTACAAACACCACTCAATGATTTATTTCTGCCTTTTAATGCGGACGTGAATTATCAGCAAAAAGCCATTAGCCGCAATTAATTTCTGCAGCAGGCAGCCCAAGCCCTCAAGGACAGATTTTTACCTTGTGCTAAAAATTAATAGCTGGGCATCGTATTTTGCAAAATACATCCCAAAGTAACGACATAGATGCTAAAACGGGGAAGAATATCGTTCAACTTGGTTGCATGCTGTGTGGCATCATTGCCACCCGCCTGTCGTAGAAACTAATTGCTGCCAGTGGATTTTCAGGAATGTGCCAAAGTCACTGCAGACAGCAAAAAAAAATATATAAATAAAAATTCACCGTCAGTGTTTCAGTGTTCCCAGGCTGACCCTGCTACTGTTACTCACATGAAAATTTAATTAATGAAAATACATAAGTGGACTGCTGGGGGAACATGAGGTGCAGCACCGCTCCCCTTGCATGGCTTTCCTCAAAAATCAGCTTGGTTTATCCGTTGTTAGTCTTACAGATCGCGAGGCGCTCGGGAATACTGGCCCCACCTCGCTGCAGTGTTTCTTTACTGAACTGCGACTTGGTACCTTTGAACTAAAACGTTTTCTTTTTTATTTTAGAAACCAGAAGACGAAGATGCAGATGTAAAAGGTTAGTAAGTGACAGGTGTTGACATTTTTCTCTTCAACTCTGCAGCATCTCACCCTCAAGCGATAAAGCAGGCAGGTGCCAAAAAGCGAGCTAAAAATTCTTCATCCGATACAGGGTGGATGGGAGGGACTGTGTAATGAATTAAGGGTGAAAAAAAGAGAGATAAGATTCTCTTCTACTGCGTGGTGTTCGTTTTTTTTCTTTTTAATATAAAGTAATTCAAATCACTGAGCACTGACACTGTAGTAGATACTAAACAGAAAGATAAGAGGTGTTTGTGGCAGCCTAAAAACTTTGTGCATCACCCCATGTTCATGACTTTGATCGCACTGGAGTGCTCCCAGTGCACTACTCCAACTTGAGCCTGGTGATGATCGCATTTCTTCCCTTCCCCTCCCCAAACTGGTTAGTTGGTGTCACCATTGGACCTTCAGGTGGTCCCTATGGCTTAGATGCCAGTTATTGCATCCCAAAACCCCCTCTGCACAATTCTGGACCCACTGGCTTTATGTCTCTATTTCCCCAACAAGCAGTAAGAAACAGCAGCAGAGGGGCTGATCAGCCTTAAATGACTTTCCTGAGAAACAGCAATGCAGAGATGTAGAGCTTTAGAGTTAACTTGTTTTCTAGGGCAGGCAGGAATCCTTTTTTTACGCTTTCCCTCCTGCCTCTCCTGACTCACCAGGAAAACACTATCGGAATAAGAATTGCAAAGTGCCAGTTTGAAACAAGAATTCCTTTTTGCCTGCGAGTGACACGCATTTTGCTTCTGCAAACCAGCCTGCCTGAGGTTTCTTCACCTCGCCTGCGCTGTAGAAAACCACTTCTGCAGTTTTGCAAGCCTTGTGCTCAGAGAGCACCCTCAGGCTTGTGGCAAGAGAGCGCACCAGCACAGAAATCCCCGCTGCAGCTCCGGCCGGGCCAGCGCTGGGCTAGCACTTGGAAAAGCTGGCTTGCAAGAAAGTGTGGAACAGTATTGTCATACCTCAGGAGCCTTATTCTTTGCAAGTCAAGCATCTTTTAAAGCAGATAAATTTGTGTTCCTTGTTGTACATCCATGGGTTTCATAGTGAAGAAGTTAATAGTTCTTTAGTTGTCCAAATTAATACGACCACTCAGAAAGAACCTCCCTCCTCCTACACTAGCAGAAAATGGATTCCTACAATTGATTTTTTTTTTTAAAGGCAGAACACAGCAGAAATCAGTGCCTGAACAATAATAATGATTAAGGGAAAAGGCACTGAGTGGCAATGCCTTCTGCCCCTCGGGTGCAATCTTTCTCTGTGTATGTCAGAATACAGCTGCCCCTACAGACCTGCATTTTCTTTTGCTCATCTGAAAAAGGGAAGAGCCTGTCAATTTTTACAATGGATATTTATTATACCCAGCACTCCTCTGGATCCTCGCCTGGCTTTCCAAAGGCTAAGCGATAACGAAGAGCTCTTCTTGCCGCCTTGTTTAGGAGGATGCTTGCATTCTTCACGTATCTCAGTCCCCGTTGTTCACTGATCTCAGTCCCCGTTGCCAGCCCTGTGCAAAGATGTTCTGTCCCTAAGGAGAAAAACGTGTTACAGAGCTCTTCAATTTTGCACTGATGGAGCAGTTGGGTTACAAGTGCCTCAGGAAATCATCTCATCAAGGACAGCTTTCCTTCGCAGGGTTCTGGTTTAAGCAATGATATTATT